TGGCATCAATCTAGGGTGAGATCTTACCAAAATCACAAAAGATCTGGTGTGATTTCGGTGAGATCTTGCTGGAAGCCAGCGAGATCTCCCCCAAATGCAATGCTAATGTCCGCACCACTTCTCTGCCACTGGATGGTGAAGGCAGTGGCGGCAGCATGGCAGGGTAGCACTTCCTGTTTCAGCTCAAGTGGTGAAAGGGTACATCCTGTTAGAAATGGTGTGTGTGAGCCATGTGTCTGTTGATAAGAGGTTGGTGGATGAATACCTGCAAGTGACTGAGTCCAATGCATTCTGGCTACCAACAGCATGAACATTATGCTCCACAAGTGAGGCCTGCAATAAAGTGTTCCAGCATGGAGTGTTGCTAATCAGGTTTCCACCACCACCCATTCCATTCTACTTCATGTTATTTTTCCACCACCACCACCAATGGCAACAGTTAGTCAGCATACCGCTTCTGGGATAGCTCAGTTGGTAAGAGCATGAGATTCTTGATCTCAGGGTTGTGTGTTCAAGCTCCACCTTGGGCAAAAGAATCCTGCATTGCAGGGGGTTGAACGAGAGGACCCTCGTAGTCCCTTCCAACTCTACAGTTCTGTGATTCCATGGATACTGAGCACACTTGGTCCTCACTGGGCTGTTTGTACAGTCTCACCTTGTTTTTTTCTTTCTAGAGTTTCTCACCCACCCTTTTATAAACACTGAGGTTTCACCTACCCTAATGATACCTTCCTCTCTAGAGCATATGTTGTGCTGCTTCAAAAAACATGGCAGAAAGAGACTGAGCACTGGGAATGGAGGGAATGAAAACCAATTCCATTTCCTCTTAGAGAGGAAACAGAAAAGCTAAGTGCTCTGGTTTTGCTACTGCTGCTCTTACAAGCTAAATCAAACTTGTTCACATCCTACATTTTCACATACTGCCATTTCCCATAGGTTTTATTTTCTCATTTACTGTTTCATTTACTATCTACTATGATGCCCCTCCATTTTGACTGTTTGGGGATTAGGTCTGCTGTGGCTGGCATGCTCAGTTGTGGTGTTTTCAACAGCTGAATTCTTAATATTCCTAATGTAAAACAACAACAACACAGTTCATTAATCTAGTTGGCTGTTTTTTTGTTTCACAACAAAATGAGACTAACAATGTTATGGGTGGTGATATGGCTTTTGGTGATAGGTCTTTCCCTAGAGAAGCATGCAACTGTCTCTGAAATCCAGATATTAGCAGAAGTAAAGATGTGCCTTTAATTTGTTTTCCTTCTGAGCAGCCCCCTATAAAGGGTATATAACATAAACAATGAATGTGCTCGCCATAACAGACTTCTTTTTTTTTAAAGGGCTAACATTAACACAACTGTTGTAAGGCACCCAGTAAATTTTCATAAACCTGCATTGTTAAAGGAAAAATGCACGAAAGCAACATTGCTATATATTTGTATTTATCATGGGGTTTTTACCTTTCAAATTGCTTTAATGTTGAGGGGAAAGCAAATGCTTTCTATAACAATTTAATTTCAAACGTGACCCATTTCCTAGGAGGTGGCAGTCAATATTGTTGCAGAAGCACCCAAGATTTAAATGCATCATATATAGCCTGCTTATTATTTCTTTATATCACCAAAGATGATGCCATGGCAACCATGCAACACTCAGTCATTGCATCTGGCTTATTGCCTGTCAGCACCAGGTCTCAGTTCCACTGTATGTGACTCCTAGTTCTATTTCAACATTACCTGCTAGATGGCAGTGGATGACTTTTTACTTTGTGCACCACTGGTGGTTGGGGGATTTTCCTTGCAAAACTCCTGGCACATGTGGCACATGTGGACAAAGAAAATACATTTTCACAAGATGCTTCAAGACAACTGTTTTAAATGGAATAACTTTAGTTTGGTTTAAAAATCTTTACATTTTAATGTTTGATATTCTATATTTGTATAGTAAAGTACCCTGGGATCTCTAAGATGAAGCATGGCTTAGAAATCACATTAAATAAATAAAACTCCATTTTGGTGCCACTAGTCTCAAGAACCACACACATACTTTTAGATTCTTGCTTATCATGCTGACTCTAAACCATGGGTAGGCAAACTAAGGCCCGGGGACCGGACCCGGCCCAATCGCCTTCTAAATCCGGCCCGCGGATGTTCCAGGAATCAGTGTGTTTTTACATGAGTAGAATGTGTCATTTTATCTAAAATGCATCTCTGGGTTATTTGTGGAGCCTGCCTGGTGTTTTTACATGAGTAGAATGTGTGCTTTTCTTTAAAATGCATCTCTGGGTTATTTGTGGGGCATAGGAATTTGTTCATTTCCCCCAAAAAATATATAATCTGCCCCCCCAAAAAAGGTCTGAGGGACAGTGGACTGGCCCCCTGCTGAAAAAGTTTGCTGACCCCTGCTCTAAACTTCCACTTTACAGCAATGATTGCCAGCTACCACCATCGGGCTTTTAACCATTTGTGCAAGAACAGATCCAATAGCAATAGTTGTTTCTGGCGATTAACTAGTTTCTGCCCTCCAGATTTTGCCTTGTGGTTCCCAAACCTACTGTGGGAGTGAAGGAGCAAGAGAAGCATGTTCACAAAAAGATTAGAGATCAAAAGGGAGGGTTGTAAGATTTTAACCCCTCCTATTCCCTTAATTCTGCAAATGGCCCTGAGAGGCTATTTTGCCTTCCAAGACAGGCTCAGTGCTGACTCCAGTTTTTGGGGGGGTAGGGGATACCCTCGTATTTTCAGGGGATAACTTACAGGTGGTGAAAGGGTTAGATGCTCCATTCCCACCTACCAATTTATCTCTGCAAGTACTGCTCACCCCCACATTAGTCTTACAAGAACTAATGGGGAACACACACACCATTTTGATTGTATTACTGCCAGTTCTGTACTAAGGAACCACGCAATAACTTTATCAGAAGAGCCACCTACTTTACAAATAGCTGAAAATATCAGTGGCAGGGCATCTGAGGACAAAGGTAGCTCATGATACAAAAAAAAAAAAAAGAGCCCAAACGCAACCAAGAGAGTGTTGTGCATCTCCATGGAAACAAACAATCTTTATAAGAATATTTACATCACATTATGAATAGAAAGAGCCCACCAAAGCAATCAGCACTCATATAAATGCTGAAAATGAATAATTGTGAGTTTCTCCAACACAATCAGTGGTTATAAGAAACGTGATATAAGAAAGGAAGACCATTTTTAGTACAATTTTTAAGAGGCACAGGTGTAGTACTCCATGATTTGCTTTGTTACTAAAAGCACAGCTTGCTTACAATCTGCAGAGAACAAAATGATGGAAGATTCTGATTTACTAAAACACTGATAATTAATTGCAACTGCAATCAAATAGGTTTGCAATTGGATGCAATTGCCATTAGGACACAGTGTTTTACAAAAAGCCAATCTCCAATATAAGCTAGTCAAAAAGTGTTGTTCCGTTGGGACCGGGGGGGGGGGGGAGTGGGAGATGGTTTGCTTGCAGTTTCCATTGCAAGCATAATCTCAATTCTGTGTGGATTAACTCAACTCAACTAGAGACATGAAACTGGCAAACCACAGGGCTGGGCAGGATCTTCTGGACCCATCAAGCCAAATGAACAATGATATTATATGACCCTCAACACCTTAGGATATTGTAAACTCAGATGCTGACACAGTTAGTTAAGCTCAGAAAGTCAAACTGTTTTTGAACAAAAGGATGGAAGGGCAGAATGTTTCATTCTGAGATTTGTCAGACTCTTGTTGTCAGAGATAAAATATCCTGCTTAATATTTGTAGTTAATTGTCCAAGTCATTATCAGCTTTCCAACAGCAGCACATTCCTCTGAGTTTGTCTAGTTTTGATGCTATTCAGTGGTTTTCTGCATCCAGTAAATCAAATCCTCAATTCAGTCCATCAATCTAGCATAGCCTCCATCCATTCAACAAAACTAGATCTGTTCTGGACCCATATTCTGATTCATCTTCTCACCTTGATGCCACACTTCTCTGAGTCCTTTGTGTTCTGCTATTTATAATAGCCTCAGTCTAAATCCACCATTTGCACACACAATCCTTTACTAACAACATGCCAAAACTACAACTCTAAACATAATAATGATTCTAGTCTGGTTGGTGGAAGGGAGCCTTGGGATTATTCATGTCAGGAACAAGGTAAAGGCTTCTACATCGGACCAAATTTGTTATAAAAACTGGGTCTCACATATGTGTAACCGACAGCAGGAAACTGAGCTAAATAATTCCTGCAATACCAAATCAACCCCTTTTTGTGCATATAGCAGCATATATTTACAAAGACCAAAATCTGACAGCAATCCCATTTTAATGGAGAAGGCTTTGTTTTCTGTGTTTCTTCTATGCCTCTTCATGGCTAATCAACTTGGTTGGGCTTCCGCCCTGTTAATATCATATGAAGTCCTCCACCATGCTGATTTCTGGAGAGATGTCCCACAAAACCTATGAAAAGCTTTGCATTTTTTTTAAAAAAATATTAATCTGAGAAACCTTTTAACAGCTCTGGGTAAAAGTCTAAGAAGAACTGCTTCAGTTCAGACCTCTCACCTTGGTTGCATTGCTAACTTTAGATCTGAGCTTTGACTGCACTTCCAGCCAATGTCAGATAACTGTTGGTTACTTAAAAAAAAGAAAAGAATGCTGCGCGATTAAGTTATAGCTATCAAAATACAGTACATAAAATAATTCCTTTTCTGTTCTGTATGTATCGCACACTTGGGTTATGACAAATCTGTAATGATGGGTGGGGGAACTAAGAGATGAATGGTGGGAACAATAGGAGAATTAGAAGGAAGAGGAAGAATCATAACTTGGGGAGTGGAACTCTGTTAGAGATCTCATCATACAGACCTTGATAAAGTGTTTTAATTTTAAAGCAACAGCCTCTGCAATGGCAGAAAAGGCAGAAATGAAAGGCAGAAAAAAGATGAGGGGGGGGAGAGAGGGGGGGGGCTTGTAGAGAGAGCCACTACTTACAGGTGTAGGTCATTTCAAAGCTGTCACTAATATTCACAATGTCAATCTGAGGAGCCAGCTTGGGGGGCTCTGTGAACTGAGACAACGCAAACATAAAAGCGGCATGTTCCTGGGATTGTTGAGTAGGAAATAATCCCCCTGGAGAAAAACAGAAAAGAGGTTGGAAACTAATCAGCAGCGAAACATGAAGTGACAATGGCATTATTATGACCACACTTCAGCATGTAGGCATTCTAGGATGCCACTTTGCTAGTAGAGTGGCAAAAACTTTTCTCCAGACACGTTTCCAGAAAGGTAGCCATGTCAGACAGTGTCTGCTAGCAAAAAGAACAAAGAATCCTCTTGTGCCTTAAAGACTGACAAATGCATTTGGACATGATCTTTCAGGATCCTGTGCAGTCTGACCATTACACAAACACAAAACACACCACCAGATCCCAAATATGATCGTAAACAAAGAGTGAATCAGGGCTATGGAGAACGGGAGGGTGTGTGTGGGGGGGGTCATTTCCGTGGGCTTCATTTCCTGTAAGGGTTAAAAAGGAGCTGGTCAAATACAGGAATGAGCATCTCCACCAAGGAAGACTCCTTCCTCCCCCCATCCCCCTTACACCAGATCTGAATCTGCTACATTTGCCCACACAGAGCAGATGTTTACTCAACAAGTTGTTGGAGAACTAAGAGGAAAGGAACAAAGGAAAAACGAATCCTGCATTATCAAAGCAGCACCTTTCTTTGGACAATGGGGCCTGGGGAGTGGCCAAATAACTGTTACAAATAAATTAAGCCACACTGTATCACGAGGGGTGTTAGCTGTACCAAGGGGTATATTCAGGTAACAAGAGGACCTCGCAGAAACCGGGGTGCCACAAGGCCTGCTTATTACTGAATTTATTTAGTTTCCCATCTTAGAAAAGCAGGGTAGAGTGCGTAACTGCCCAAATGGCTCCAAGCGTGCTGCTGACAGTGGCTTAATTGTAGCTAAATGTGCAATTAGACCTCTGAATCCGGTTTCGGCACTTTGGGGGTCCATTTGAGTTTTGACAGCAATGCAAATCGAGTGTGACATCCCTAAGGTGCAGATGTGCAAATGAGGCAGAGACAAGAGTCAGTGGCGGGATGGAGCAGAGCATCATAAGGATGATCACCGTCGTCAATATTATTCATCGCTCTCACACTTTAATTCAGCAAAGAAAGCAAAAGCAGGAAGCGCAGCCTCCAACGAATAATAGCAGGATACTTTCTGCACGTTCAGCAGCATGCACGATTTCTGGATTTGGTGTTTTTTTTTTTTCGTGGAAAGGCTTATTTTTGCACCAGGAGAACAAACAAACAAATAAATGAAAAACACTAAACCCACACTTCGGTGCCTGTGGTTGCCAAGGAGGGGGCTAGAAATGGCAGCCTGCTAATTTTGCAGGTTCGTTTTGTGTTTCCCCGAAGAAATGTGGGAAAGGAGGATGCCGGCGAGGGAACGTTAAAACTGCAATAAAAGCGCCAATCCTGCAAGTGAGGCTATCCCATGAGTTTCTCTCCCCCCCCCCCCTTACGGCGAGGGCGAGCCAGGAATAGGCATTGCAAAGAGACATAAGGGCGAGGAGGGATAGCAAATACTATCAATTATGTATTTGGGGTGGGGGAGAGAAGCTGCCTGCTGATTGAATTGGGGGGGGGCGAAATGAATGAAAGGTGTATCGCTGATGCTTGGGAAGGTGGAGGGGGGGCCGGGAAACAAGTGGATGCATGGAATGGAAGGAGCCTGAGTGCAACACCTTCCTGGCGTTGTTCTGCTTTTGTTTCAGCGCAACAACAAAGACTGGTTTCTCCCCGAGGTTATCTCTTTACTTACGGACAGGAGAAACCATTCCCCACTCCCCCAAATAAAAGGATGGCAGAAGAATGCAAAGTGCCCCGGTCTACCCTTCCCCAAATGAAATGCTGAGTCCCAGATTTAGGAGGAGAGAGAAATTGTTTGCTTCCTCCATTTCGGAAGCAGGCATGTGCAGGCATGTCCTCCACCCACTAAGAAGGAGAGATCCATCCCATATCACTATCTATTTTTTTCCCCGATCCCCCAATTCTATAGCAAATCCACCCCATGCATGGGCCAGACCCCCATTCTTTCTTTGCAAGTGGAGGCGGTGGATGGGCTAGATTTCACACACACACACACACACACACACACACACACACACGAAAATGCGTTCGCTACAGAATGGGCAACCTTTTCGCACTCACCTATCTGGATGTTGCTGGGGAAATTGACCCCCAACACTGCCCCTAGGAAACTGGTGCAGAAGAAGGCAAAAATGTGCTGCATATTCCCTTTTGCATTGGCGAGAAAGAAGCCCAGGTCCAAGCATAGATTTGGTAGTTCCCCCCTTCTGGTTTTCTTCCTTGCTTTCTTTCTTTCTTCCTTTCTTTTTCCTTTTCCTCTCCCCCCTTTCGGTCCTCACTTCCTTCTATACTGCCGTGTGTCTCTTTCTCCTGGAATCCAGCGCTTAGATCGTTGCCTTAACGCCAACTGACAGCAGGATTAACTGAGCTCTGAGAGAGAGAGGAAGAGAGAGAGAAACCCTTTCTCATCCACAGCCCCCCTCCTCTCTCTCTCTCTCACTCACTCACTCACTCACTCACTCACATGCATGCACACACACACACACAGTCTTCTCTCTCTCTCTCTCTCTCTCTCTCTCTCTCTCTCTCTCTCTCACACACACACACACACACACACACACTGTACTCTCTCTCCTCCTGCTCATTTCCCTCTCATTGTTTTACTGTCCACCCCACTTTTTTTTTTTTTGGGCAGCCTCTTTCCTGAGGGTCCCCTCCTTCACCACGTGCTGTTTCCCATAGAAACATCGGAAGCTGCCTCAGACTATTGATCCAGATCTGCTCAGCATCGTCGACACCGGCTGCCCGCGGCTCTCCAGACAGGGCTCTTTCCCCAGCATTGCTCGGAGACACTGGGCATCCAACTTGGGGTGCTCTAACCACTGAGCCCCACCACCTTTCCCCATAACACCAACCGCCTTCCCTCCACAATCTTTCGGCAGGTCCTGGCTGGGACAGCCTCTCTGCCAGCCGGTCCCTGAGCGGCAAACTCCAGCCGAGAAAGGGCTCTGCTCTTTAGTCACAGATCAATAGGTCCTCGGGCGGGGTTGCTCGGCTCTTGGGATCCAAGGGCTGCGAAGCTCCAAGTCGCTCGCTACAGTCCAGATCATTAAGACAATGATGGGTAAGATGGAAACAAATGGCTCTCCAGAGAGGAAGGTAAAGGGGGGGGGGTAATTTTCAGGGGAAGGCAAAAGAAGAGGCTGACATTCGTCTTTTCCCTTTCCAGCTGAGTTTTCTCCCACCTGTCTCATCATTAACCTGCTTTCCCCATTTTGCCTTCCTGAAGATGTGTTTTGTTCCTGCCCTCAACGGAAAGGAATCCAGGCTAAAGAGGCTAGAAGTTTACATACCTTAGGCTTATTAATGAGAGGTGTGTGTGTCTCTATGTGTGTTTGTGTGCGCGAGAGAGAGAGAGAGATGAGGAGGAGAAGGTTCGGGCTCTCTTACAGCGAACAGCTTTCCTTCCCACTCTCGCCACATCTCTTCTGGGATTTAAAACATTTAGGGCACAGGCATTCGTTTTGTAAATGCAAATCCACTGCAACGGAGGAGGGCACAGTTCAATCGCTGTTATTTATTCTTTGTATATACTACAGTAGCAACCAGTCATGCCGGCCCAGAGCAGGATCCTCCAAGCAGCTCAATCCTGCGCTTGACTTGCCTAGCAAAAACATATAAATGCTGCAGCTGCACCAGCATCTCTATTGGCATACTCATCAACCAGTCAACCAATCCTGGCTTTTGTATCCATACAGTCTCGTTCTTCTTTGCAAAACCAAAACATCGCCTGCTGCAACAGCAAACTAAAAAGACAGGAGTTAAATGCATGCCCACCAACCCATCCACCCTGCTCTTCTATGTTTCAAGGGAACTCAGCATAGCTCAATACACATGAAAACACAGGAAGAGCCTGCTGGATCAGGCCAGTGGTCCAATGGTCCAGCACCCTGTTCTCACAATAGTGCCTGTGAAAAACCCTCATTGCAGGACCTGAATGCAAGAGCATAGCCCTCATTGCTAGGAAAGAACGAAGCAGGGTTAATTCTTAGTAGGTGGGATAACCAGAGGAAGGAGGCAAGTTAGGAGCCCACCACAATAGTGCCTCTGGGAATATATAGCTGAACGATTGCCATTCACTTATGTGGGGAAATTGGGATATTGTTGCCCTGAAAGGAAAACCTGCAGTTCTGTGGACACTCGTGGTCTGGCCCTTGCTAATGCAAGCGTGGCCTGGCCCTCTGCCATGTGCAGAGCAAACAAGTGTACTGCCCCCTCCTTGGGGGGAGCATCCCACAAGGAGGGAGCCACCACAGAAAAGGCCCATTCATGTGTTGCCACCCTCTGGACCTCTTGCAGAGAAGGCACATGAAGAAGGGCCTCAGATGATGAGGGTAGGTTCATATGGAGAGAGGCAGACCTTGAAGTATAATAATAATAATAATAATAATAATAATAATAATAATAATAATAATAATATGCAGCCCATCTGACTGAGTTTCCCAGCCACTTTGGGCAGCTTCCAACAAAATATTAAAAACACAATAAAACATCAAACATTAAAAACTTCCCTAAAAAGGATGTCTTCTAAATGTCAGATAGTTGTTTATTTCTTTGACATTTGATGGGTGGGTGTTCCACAGGTGCCACTGCCGAGAAGGCCCTCTGCCTGGTTCCTTGTAACCTCAATTCTCACAGTGAGGGAACAGCCAGAAGGCCCTTGGAGTTGGACCTCAGTGTCTAGGATGAACAATGGGGGTGGAGACGCTCCTTTAGGTATACTGGACCGAGGCCATTTAGGGCTTTAAAGGTCAGCACCAACACTTTGAATTGTGCTCGGAAACATACTGGGAGCCAGTGTAGGTCTTTCAGGACCAGGGTTATGTGGTCTTGGTGGCCACTCCCAGTCACCAATCTAGCTGCCTTATTCTGGATTAGTTGTAGTTTCCGGGTCACCTGTGAAGGTAGCCCCATGTAGAGTGCATTGCAGTAACCAGAGCATGCACCACTCTGGCAAGATAGTTCATGGGCAGGTAGGGTCTCAGCCAGTACCAGATGGAGCTGGCAGACAACTGCCCTCTACACAGAATTGTGGTTTTGAGTTCAGAGTCAGAGTTCTGTGCGTGAGTTTGGGCTGATGTGGGAAGCTGGAGAAACAGAGGCATGCCTGCTCTGTGCTGGATCCAGAACTATGAGGAGGCAACACCTGTTGGGAGTTAATGCTGTGACCCCATCCATTCTATGCTCAGGTTCCATATATATGCAACTAAAACCCTATATTCCAAAGACACAACAGTCTCCATTGACCTTTGTTCCAAGGAAACTGAACCCTGGGTAAGCACTGGAATCCCTGGAGTCTCTCACCACTCAAAATTAGGGTGCATGCAACAATATATTCCCATAGAAAATATGCATCTGCTTCTTCTCACTTAAGCAGCAGGAATTTCCAAAGTTCCCATAGCAGTAAATAAATAGTAGATTTCACCTCTATTCTGCATAGCCAAGGGAGGAGGGGTGATCAATTCCTACCTTTAGGATTGAGCTAGTGGTCAAAACACTAGTGTGTGCCTGGTAAAACCAGAATCCTTAAAAAAAAATTCCTTTCTCCATGATAGGCATCTCTGAAATAAAGATTCATTCAAGACATCCTTGATTTGAATTCTGCAAGGCAGACAAATTCACCTTAGGAGTTGCATCATCATGACCTAGTTTGCCTCCTGACACCAAAATGCGTGGGGGAGACCTACATAGTTCTCTCAGTCACATCATTTCATGTGCCATGTGGGTGGCAGGATCAGTCCTTCTATTGGATACAGTGAAGCAGCCACCTCAGGCGGCAGATGCTGGGGGTGGCAGCAGCAGATTTCCCTCCCCCTGCAGCTAGACCAGGGTATCCCCCCACCCTAGATGCACAAGTTCATTTGTCTACACTGAGCTCCCAGGCAGAGGATGCTTCTAGCCCTACCTTGAAGATGCCAGAGATTGAAACTACAACCTTCTGTATGCAAAGCAGATGCTCTACTACTCAACTGGGGCCCATATATTTGGTGCTATGGGAAAAGAAGGCTAACGGCATAGTATAGCAGATTGTGTTTGCTCTATCTACTGATATGAAAGAAAATGTTCTTTTAAAGCCAATTCTGTTCACATTCTGCAGCACTATGCAACTTGATTTGCTGCCTTAGGCATCAAAATGTGGTTGTCTGGCCCCGGTGGGTGACTACTGCTGGCTAGGGCTGTTGCCAGGCTAGCTAAAAGCAGCAGTATTTGGAACCTACAGCTTTGTCACACTTCCCATCTTCCTGATAGCTCAGTTGGGTAGAGTGTGCTGCTGATAATGCCAAGGTCACAGGTTCAATCCCTGTTTGGGACAGCTACATATTCCTGCATTGCAGGGGGTTGGACTAGATGATCCTCAGGATCTCTTCCATGTCTACAATTCTATGATTCATCAGCAGTATTCCTCCTGGTTCATAATTCCTTGGCCCACTTCACCTTACAGAAGTCCACTATCCTTCTCAAGTATTACCAGCTCCCTTCAGAACCATCACAGGCAGACTCTTAAGAAGCCATAGGAATTGTCTGGTAGAAATATCACAGCTGAAAGAAGATGTCACCCCAAAATGATTCAGTTTCTGGGCAAAATAGATTCTTCCTATACATGCTATATGAAGAGCCCGCGTTTCTCTAAGGATGCCTATGAAGTACTGTCATTTTTTAAAACTCTTTTTAGTTCTCTGGCTGGATAATCCCTATATGAGATTTACTTTGAAATATATGGGGCAGAATGTAATTATGATGATCATTTTAAATTTTTAATAGAATATTGTATAGCTTTCAGTACGGAGACGGCGTAAATGAATATGAATATTATTGCTTCATTCCAGAAATGGCTTTTTCCTCTTTCCCTACCAGTGCTTGCCTCCTTTAATTATTTCTCAATTACGCAATTGTACAGTAAGGCAAAATGAGATATCGGACTGCTACAGATAAGGATGTTTATTTATGAATTCCACAATATACACAATATTTCTCTATTCCGATAGTCCAGACACAGCTGGTTTTGCCTGTTTTAGGGAAGCCTCCTGATCCATAGGGAGGTACCACATTTAGATACCACTTTCTGGTTATATTGTTGGCATCTGACACATGTTGCTAAATACATAATGTCATGGACAAACACTTCCATGTAGACAAGGTATTTCGGTAGATAAGGCACCTGATGCCTTCTCTATGGTCTTTCTTGGCACCAGATAAAGGCCTTCTTATTATCCCAGGTATTTAAATGGCAGTTTAAATCCCTCAGGTGCACCCCCACCACTGGCAGGAGATGAGCAGCAGCCAGCAGAGCAGCTATCCCTTTGACTATGACATTCCTGCTCTGCTTTTGCAGTTGCTCCCTTTGAAAATTGAAGAGATACTGGACCATTCCTGTTTTATAGCACCTGGCCTTGACACTAGATATTTTCACTGGGGAGGGGGATAAAATCCTGAAGGAGCGTCTCCACCCCCATTGTTCAGTTCAGACACTGAGGTCCAGCTCTGAGGGCCTTCTGGCAGTTCCTTCCCTGCGAGATGTGAGGTTACAGGGAACCAGGCAGAGGGCCTTCTCGGTAGTGGCACCTGCCCTGTGGAACACCCTCCCATCAGATGTCAAGGAAATAAACAACTATCTGACATTTAGAAGACATCTGAAGGCAGCCCTGTTTAGGGAAGTTTTTAATGTTTGATGTTTTATTGTGTTTTTAATGTTCTGTTGGAAGCAGCCCAGAGTGGCTGGGGAAACCCAGCCAGATGGGCGGGGTATAAATAATAAATTATTATCATCATTATTATCATTATTATCCTCATTGCTGGGTTGATGTGAATGATACTGGGCTAGGGAGAAGGTGTCAGTGTTGAGTTTTTATTTTTATCATTTAGTGGATGGGAGTATTATTTTGTTTATTGTTTGCATATTGCTATTTTTTAAAATTATTGTTATAGGGGTTTCATTTTTGTTTACCAATATGTTGTATAGTATATTAATTTATACCATGTGTGTGGTATTCATGCATGTGTGCATATATATATATATATATATATATATATATATATGGGTAGGAAGCAACTAATAAAACAACAACAATTCTAGGCCGTTTAATACTGAACTTGTTCTATTAATTTCCCCCCTTTATTGTTGTGTTTAATCATATTGTATATTTCTTTTTACCAAGGCTATCTGAGGAATATTTATTGATGGGCAGCCATGTAAGAATGGACACGCCCCTACTCCTTAAGCCAAGAAAGCATAGGCAGCAGAGTGAGATGCAGAGAACAACTGGCCAAATACATATATCCATGTGGCAAAAATGAAACTCTTTTTTGCTTTAATTATTCATTTCGCAGCACTTGTTTGACCAGACTTAACCCATTTTAACATTTAACCTCTATCTGAGAACTAGGAGAAGATGTTTGCTCAAACAGGCTGAATTGCTGTCAGATAACTAAATTATGTAGATAAAAGAGGCAAACAAACACATCTTTGGTTTCTGAAGAGTATCTAAGTTTAAACACCTTTTCTAGACATGCTACCAAATAAGTTCCTCCTCCTTCCTACTTCATGCTGGGAAGGATTTCCATCAATATCAGGCACACTTTAAAAGAGATGGGAGATCCTCCATGTCCTTCCTAGATAAGACAGGACCAGAGGTTGCTCTGGCCTCAGATAGGCCCAAGAAGAGTCATTATGGCTTTTTAAAAAGTCTCTCTTAAAATCTAATGTAGATCATTACAATATTTAAAACCAACATTGTGACAACAAAAAAATAAAAATAAAATAAAAATACAGGAACAAACACCTCAAAGCAAATCCCATCAGCTCCCAAAAGTTCTACAAAGATGGTAGATTTGCTTCTACAAAGATTTGCTCCTAATGGCTCCTAAAGGTTCAATGTATTTCCACTAGTAGTTTGTTCCACAATTCCTGAACAGCCAGCATCTTGCTCCTTCCTGTGGCTGATCTAACCCAATGATTGTACTCAAGGTAGGTATTCATTATCTGAACCAAATTGTATATGGGAAATGGGAGCTATGATCAGAGCTGTTCTCTTGGATATAGAAGTCTAAGGCTATGACAACCAGCATCTTGAGTTGAGGCCAGATGCTTACTACTGACTGAATATGTTCCCACTTTCTCACATTACCCACAGAATTCTGCCCCTGCTACAAAATTCAGACATTGTCTTCTAGGCTGACTTCACATAAAGCACATTGCCATAGTCAATATGCTGTGTTTGGGTGGGTGGGGGTCAAGGAAATCAGGGTGAGGACAACTCTATCTTTAAACTCCTAAGATGAGTAAACTGTCTTGGACAAAGAGAGCTATAACTTGGAAAACACTGTTTGGCATTATTGCACCCTAAAGCCAAACAGCTTAGCAGCATAGTTTAAGGTTAAGCTGGGCCAGGAAATAAGAGGTTTGCCAAGGTGGCTGCTGTTAGGCACACATTTACTTTGTTCATTTTCTCCAAATGTCGGGTGGGTGACCTCTAAATATTTGGGGTTCTGCAACCTTCCATCCCATTCACTTGGAAATGCCATTTACTTTTTGAATAGAACTGGTGTGCAATACATTTCTTGTGTCTAGGTTTTGGGCTGTTTAGGAAGAAATTGCTCTCACAGCATAAGGTATATGGGGGGGATGGGGAATGGGCAAATTTTTTCAGCTGGGAGGGGCACATATGCCAGTGGTTGGAGGGGATAGAGGAAGTGGGTGGAAAAATGCATATATCTTTTACAGTAGGCAAATTTTGTCACAGTCAGACACACCTGTCTTTGCTCCATCTGAGGAAAGCAAGAAATAGAGGCTAGAGCAGCCTTAAATTGCCAAGATCCACTCCCCTGTGATGGATCCTCTATACCATGGTAACTTTCCAAGGGAGTCTCCTCCAGGTAATTGTTGGGGTGTAGCCTGGGGGAGGTTCCCGAGTACCAGAGAAAGAGACCTGACCCTCCAGGCTTGGGGTTGCTCATCCCTGCTGCATGGACACATTTTGGTCATCACTATATCCATTTATCCTATTTATAAGAAAGGATTTCTTCCTTTCCAGCAATTAATTACTCAAACAGATTGATGAGATTTGAAGGTGTCAGTCAAGTAGGCACCATAGCTGCTGTGCTGGTCTCAAGCTGGCATCACAAATATAGCAATTAGCCAATAAGGCTGAGGAAACTGAAAGCTAAATTATGATTCACCAAGGGAACACTTTTATTTCTGTGTATCTGCTGGTGGCAGGATCCCCCTCCCGCTCCTTTATGTCATTCAAGGATGTGCAGTTTGGGTAAAGTTTGCACACATTTCATTTTGCTGTGAGCAAAGGACAAAAGGTTCCAAGTTCTGCCATTCACTGGAAAAATAATGCACCTTAGCAAAATTTTCTTTGTTAAGTGGGCAGAGTGCAATGGCCATTTCTAGCAGCTGCTATTCAGAGGTATACTGCCTCTGACATATTGGACAATACTTGAACCTATTTCAAAGTGAGCAGATGTCACTTTGCCATCGAGGTCAACTGGCTATTTGGGGGCAATGCTTCCTGACAAGGCAAATATTTCCACCCTCTTTTACAGCAGGCCCTGGAAAATCTTCCTGACAATGCAAATATTTCCACCCTCTTTTACAGCAGGCCCTGGAAAATCTTTTGAAGGATTCTGCCTTTCCAAACTGACAAAAACGTTCGTGAAAATCACCTAGCTTTGGCTCAGCCCTATCTTGAGAAACATTAAAAAGAATTGAATAAAGGCAGTGTTAATCAGAAGTATGTGCTATTTCATCTCACCTCAAACACTCATAAGAATGTAGCTAATCACACTAGTTCAGATTTCCACCAAGATACGTAGCTCACTGAGTGACTCAGGGACAATCACAATTTCTTCAGCCTGTTTGCCTCTTTGGTTGTTGTGAGATGGGATAAACTCCATGTATATTACCCTGATCCTCCAGAACAAAAGGTGGGATATAAATGTGGTAAAGAGTGGTGGTTTTTTTCTAAAAATGATGTAGAAGCAAATTGCTTATCCTATCAAATTGTTATTTTTTGTAATGATATTAAAGTGTACAGAGTAAGACATGCACGATTCCCACCTCCAAATTCCCTTGGGACTCGACCAAAACACAAAAACATTTACTTGGGTACTTTGCCTGTAACATACCAGTCAGAAGACATTTTAGCGTAGTATCATTTCAGCAGCCTATCATTTTCTGGCCCAACTGGTACTAGGAAGGAAGGAAAGAAAGAAGGGAAAAGGTTAAATGTTTTTGAAAGAGAGAGGTGGAGGTATGGAACAGTTTTCTTATAATTAAATGGTTGTTGTGTCTCTAATAAACTGCTTCAT